AATTGATTCGCGGTAAAAACATTGACCGTAAGTGTTCACAATGACAAAAGAATTGATTCGTGAAAAAAAAAACAACTGACCGTAAGAGTTCATAATGACAGAATAATTGATTAATGGAAAAAACATTGACCGTAAGAGTTCATAATGTTTATTATTTTCAACCTCACAAACGCTTCCAGTGGTTGTTTCATTCAAAACAAATTATACAAATATGAATGCCGTTATAATTGCAGTTAACACTTGTTGTAAAGGTGTAAAACAGTAAGCGAGTTTCACATGTTTAATAAAACAAGTGTTTAAGTGATATATATATAACCATCAACATCGCGCACTATAAAAAATTCCGTTAATTTTAGTCAGTCATGGTGATGTTTGAGTTGTTAGGGAACAGTTTTACATATATCCAATGCTTTTCATCCAACACTTACGTACGTTAACATGTACTGAATTCACGCCGGAAACGACTATAAACAGAATCAGATTTCCAACGTATTGATATACTACTTGCATGTAGGTTCACGTGATATGGAATATTAGGGAAGGCCACTATTAATTAATTATAATTTTTTTAGCTGCTTTACTTGATACGAATATAATCACAACGAAATAGTGACAAAATTAAAATTTGAAACATGTATAGCATTTTCAATTTTGATGGTTTGAAATATCAAAGATAATCACATGTATATACGAAGTACAAGTTCATTAGACAATATTAATAAAAAATGTATCAAAATAAGTGGGAGATTGTAGTTTGTTTGTTGTTGTTTTCGTGGGATTTACTTACCTCCTCTTTATATTCATCTTCAACTGTAAACATCGATTCAATAGCAAGACGGTTGGTACTTGGATGATCCAGCTTAATCGTAGAACGCTGGAATGAAATGTAAAACAAAAGTTATTTTTTTTAATAATTACATATACTTCAAAGCAATGTTTCCTACAAGATATTTGTGACCATATAAGAAACTTACTTCAAGAAAACTTCCAAGCAAAATTCACGGTTAGCGTTTCATACACCAAAAGTTGGCGAATCTTTGAAAAACAGTAAGCCTAATATTCGTGATTTACATCAAGCAAAACTGCAAGCTTTTTAACGTTTCTCTTAATGCGTCCATTCCGAACTTCAAATCAGAAGTGTACAAAATATTTTTGCCTACTAAAAAGTTCTTGTGCTACAAATAAAATGATTGAATACGTAATACTACAATGATTTTAGAGCCTCACCACGTCCATGTCACCTCGTCCGGTCATGCCCTGTTTGACGACCATGCACCTTCATGAAAGCCATGCAGCGTATTTTCCATTGCAAAAGGCTCCGTCGTAAAGCTGTCATGTTCAAAACATATCCCTTACTCCCTGCCGTTTTCCATAATCTGTCTAAAATATGAGGCTAGTAGTTTCCATGAGTCAGTTTCAACAGTCCAACCGCACAGAAATTTACAGAAAACTTCACCAGTAAGTCTTATTATGGAATACCCATTTCATTCTCTACCTGCTTGAGGTATGTGATGGTTGAACCAATATGTCATGGAAGCAACTTGTGTACACGTAACTTATGTCGCTTTTCCAGACGGAGATTCTCCTTTCTTATATTGTGTACTGTTGCTTGGGGCACGTGGACAGCTTTTTCCACTAACCTTTATGTTCGTGGATTATCATCTATAACAAGACGTCGTATTTCACTTACTACTACTAGAGTACGACTTGTTGCAGGTCTCCTTTGGGATGGTCCTGCTTTTCCAAGTTCATCAAAATTTATTTGTTTTCAAATATCATTAAGTACAAAGGATATATCTGTCTTGGGAGATCTAAATCCCCAAACAGAACACACCTTTATGAGCTGAGTGTATGAATATTTTGCCTCGGTAGGGCTGTTACATATCCTTCCCAAATGCAATCAATTTTCGGTTGCATCATACTACCTACCAAACGCCAAGCAATATCAAAATGTAATTTTCATACATTCCACTACGATTTCATAACAACTGTGGTTATCAGGTGATGTATTGATTTGCATATTAAAAATCGTTTTAACAGCCAGTCTGCGAATAAGGGAGATGTTTTTGGTGGGTTGATTCCCAAACAAAACCTTCCGGTACTAACCTTTTTTTTCAAAGTTATGAATAGAGATTTGAACACCTTGTGGTATCCGGAATCTGAATTGCCTACCATTATGACCACATACATTCGCACTATATTTCAGACTATGAGGTAGTAAAACCTATACTCCCATCCAAAATACCACACAAAATGAAGCAGTGGCCGCAGTACAAGATCTGGTCCCTCGGCTCTATAAAGATTTTTTCTCCACGGTTTTCGATAAAGATGGTCGAGGAAGACTCAAAGAAGCTTACTTGTCGCTGAAAGATGGCTAAGTGCAGTACATGCCAGAAGTGAACACTTCGACTAGTTTATGTAAAAGGAACACAACCCGGCAAACCCCTAAACTCTGCATCTTCGTGGTCGAACACTACTAAGAAATGTTTTTTTTTTTTTGTAAGTAAAGATTATTTTTTAGATTAACAGATTAAATCTTTTATCATATAGCTACTTTTAATTATAACTTGAATACCAGAAATAGTGACATCCCTCTGTAGTCTATCCAATACCCTTAATTCGGTTTCATCGATTCTCAGACAGAGTCTTAATATAACGCACTCAATCCTATGCAAGTAGCTTAGATAAATTTTCGTCTCTCGCAGACAAATCCAGCATTATGGTATTGAACGAAAGGCGTCATGGGGAGTGCTTTCTGCAGTTCAGCTAAAATTATTGAGTAAAATAAAGCCATATTTTTCCGTTTTAATACGTTTTGTTTTCCTAATAATATCATTATTATCTAAAAATGTTAGAAAAATATCACCATCGTGAAAATCTACATCTATAACTTGTGCGAATTGCTGATGAAGATTGAACAATGTCAATTATGATTACAAACCACCAAAAATTCCATTTTGAGTGCGCTGTGTATGTGTAGCTTGCGTTATTATTATATTCATTTGTTTACTTTGTCCAAAATATTTATTATACCACACTCTACACAAAATAGTTTGCATTATCAACCGAAGAAGAAATATATTTATCCCATTGATAAGATTCAACATTTAAATTTCCAAAGTCTTTACTGTCATATGGTATACATGTTCATGCATGTATAAAGATACCTGAAAAAAAATACAAGTGCAATGTATCATTCAATTAAATAATGGACCCAATGAAAGGATTAAGACAGTATTAAATAAGGGAAGTTATAGCACAACACCTGCATTTATTAATGTCTCTTTCTTCGACTCTTTGAAGGTTAACTGTAAAAAAGTCCACATATTCCATGCATACCCTCTTTCTATTTTTTTTTCGTAAACAAAATCTAAACTCATATCTGTAATCGGTACCAGTAGATAAAATACGCTTTGGAGCACTTATAATATATACTACAATCTAACAGAGACCGTCATGGACTCTACCAACTACAAACTTAGATAATTTTTACTTCACTACCATTGTTTGTGCGACTTTAAATAACAACAATTCTAACAATAATTTTGAAAAAAAGTATTTCTTTATTGATCCTATACGAGTTTCCAGAAAGAACAAGAAGCAGGCCTCACGGCTGACCATGCATCACACAAAGCTTCAGTGGAAATGCTATTTGTATCAGTTGATTGTATTGAGCAAAAGGCCTTGAGAGCAGAGGCATTCAGCACAAACGGTGTGCGATTCAAATGTTATTATATTATTCTTACTGGTAAACCGTATAGGGCCAGTAAAGAAAGATTTGATAAAAGCTATTATCATTCTTATTATGAAGATTCTGTTAGTGAGTTTGTGTTTAAGCGCAAAGCTACTAAGTGGACTGTCTGTATTGTGTGTGTATATATCGAAATCAGATTTGTAGCTTTATAAGCAATCAAGCTTATTCTGAGTCACTGGAAGTCTTTATTATGAAGTAGTGTCACACAAACAACCGATCTAGCGATCACGCTATGTCGTCATAAGGCGTTATATACCATAAATGCATTGTATTACACTCTTGTTTGTCATTCTTGAGAATGTAAAGCCAACCCAACTTATGCAATAAAACACTTGAGTTAAGTACAAACTTGGATCTGCAACGTTTCACAACATGTATAAACTCAATAACTTTTTAAACAAGTGCCTATACTGACTGCTTATACGGGTGTGTGAGAAAAGTAAAAAACTTGCAAATGTCTAAGTGCACAATGTACTATTTTGTAGTTACAACTACCAAACAAATTGACCTTTAGTCCCATTAAAATTAATGGAACCTCAATCATGTGGCTCGTTCACATGACACATACAAACATCACAAGTTTACAGCGTGCCATCCATCGTAGAATCAAACGATCATAAGCTTTCGTCAGTTTCATCCCATTATTCAAATTCACCTCTGAAAAATTTTCCTACAAAGATGTAACATTGAATTCATTATTCAATTATGGTTTTTCTAACTGCAACATTATGATTATGAAAAAAAAAAATGCATTATTGAAAATCATAACCAGACAAAAATCTGATTATATGAAACCGTAACACACATTAAGAACCAGACAAAGTTTGATGTATAGGTAACCACAACACAGACACAAACAGAAAATGATAATTCTCAAGATCAGTAATATGTCCTTCAGTTCTCAACTAACTTCCTTCTTAAAGGGAAATGGAACAAGAGCATGATGTAGAGGTAAAAGTCTTCAATGGTTAATACCTTTGTTACTGCTCAACAGCAGAACGTAATATAATTTTTTCGGGTTATACAGGATCTTGCTAAAAGTTTGGACATTTAAATTTTCATATTCGAGCATTACGATTTGATTTTTATACCGTGGGTATACAACGCCAACTTATAACATTTTCAGTCTTAACATAATTATTGATAATTACTAATGCTTAAAATTGTGTTTAATTAAATTTTTGTTGTTGTTGTTTTTCTATCAACTGCACTATATAATTTAATGTGCTTTAATGAATATTGTGTCAAATAGATATAATTGTGTCAAGTTACAGATTGGTTAACTCTATATCTTAACCCTATACTTTTCTCGATAAGGTTATTACGTTTGTTAAGCTTTACCGATCTAATCATTTATAAATTTATAAATTCGAAACTTCACGCAAACCTAAACAAAGGATATATACACTAGCCGTCTTTAAATTCGAGCTGATATACTAAGGGAAAACAGCCAGTCAACAGCATCCACCGCCAGCACCTGGACACAATTCTCTTATCTCATAGTAGAATTTGATTGTTACTCCTATAACGCATCTACGGCCCCTACGAACGAAAAATATATTTACGCCAACGGGACGTGAACAATAAATCCTCAGATCCACAGTCTTCCACATTAATGATAAGCCACGCCCGGATTCTCTATCTTACCTAGACTGTAAATGTTGTCTTTTGCCTTAACAAACAAGCAGCTTCGAATATGTTTTCACCGAGGCATGTATGTGTACGCACTCCACAGATAAAGGAAAATTCCACCTTACCTTATTTATACACACTAATAGCTTATATTCGACATTTTATTCGACTTACATTTACAGACAAACATATAATTAGACACTTTTATGCATACGCATAAATTACAGAATTATGGAATACGTACTAGAACGAGTTGTGTAAAACCCATTTTCTGCCCTATCATAGATGGATTAATTTATATTCACATTATGCAGCCATTTTTTACACCACGTGTACGACATACAATAAAACAGCTCTGATACTAAGTCCTCTTAAGAATAGTTTAAAAAATTTCTATATAAATCGTAAAAAGCAAATCAAATCATCGATTTCCTGATAACACTTTCACTTCTACGCAAATTTTGAGAAGCTTACATTGCGTCAGCTCG